CCCTAAACCTCTGAACCCTAAATCCTAAACCCCTACACCCCTAAACCCCTAAACCCTAAACCCCTAAGCAGTTAGAGTATGGTACTCGACCCTGAGCCCTCCGCCACCAACGTATACGATGTCCCTTATCGCCCTTCCCAGCTAAGCCCCAAAGGGTTTAGGGTTTAGGGCCCGAAACCCTAAAACAGGGGCCTTAATAATTNNGGGGGGGGGGGGGGGGGTATTTTATACCCTAGCTTAGCAGATTTCTGGTCTTGTGTGGCTAGGGGCTTCAAAACAAGAGCCCGCAAGACTACAGTATAATATGGAGGCATTGGTAACTGGACTAGGCATTTGCAAGAACCCACAGCCGCAGGAGTACTTACTTTGGTCTGGAAAAAACACCATATCAGCCGTATAGACATTTCATCAAATCACATACCACCATCGTCCACACATTCGACATCCCAGAAGCCTGAAGAACTTTTGCTAACATTACAAAACCGTTGAAGATAAAGCGGGAAACCCTGCACACTCCCCTAAACCCTAAACCGTAACTCCAACGCTTCAAACCCTTCGGGCACATCCATTTTGGCGAGGCATCACACTGCACGGTGGTACGCCCTAGACAAGGCTGCGCAGGCGGCCGGGTTGAACTAGGGTGTTAGACGGCTGATGGACAAAATTCTGCAGGACCCAAATACAGTATAGTACCATAAATCCCATAGTTTAGGTATATAAGGTCATGCAGGATTTTGTCCATCAGCCGTACACGAACTGGTTTAAGAAACCCCGGGTCTTTACCAGCAGTATTCTTTATACGAATCCTCATCTTTTGGGGTTTTTAGGGCAGAGTTTCTTCATCAGGTTCCTACATTACACTAAGGCTCCTGAACCCTTGGAGTTTGATCCTGAGATCCCAAACCCTAAGCCCTAAACCCTAAACCCTAAACCCCTAAACCCTAAACCCTAAACCTAAGGCTCCTCAGTTTGATCCTGAGATCCCAAGCCCGAAGCCCTAGACCGCGGAAAGCCAAGACCCTCTTGGGAGCTTTTTGGGGTAAACCCAAAGTCCAAAACCCTCAGTCCTAAACCCTACGCCCTAAACCCTAAACCCTTAACCCCTAAGCCCCTAAACCCCTAAACCCCTAAACCCAAAAAAACCCTAAACTCCAAACCCTAAGCCCTAAACCCTAAACTCTAATCCTTAAACCCTAAACTGATAGGACTCAAAGGCTTCAATCTCTGGCTTCGGCTGTGGTCATCTAAACCTGAACTCCTCAAGGCTATATGCCTGCACAGGAGCACTGGAAGAGTGATATAGATATGGGTAGTTGTCAAAATTATGGTCCCTTTTGGGGTACCCTAAATAATAGGTACCGTATTATAATACGGACCCAAAAAGGGACCATAATTTTGACAACCACCCTTTGCGTATACATATGGGTAGTTCTCTGAATTAGGGTCCCTTTTACAGTGCTTTTCCAAGGGTGCCGTACTATTTGGGGGAACCTAAAAGGGACCCTAATTTAGAGGACT